GTTGGCAGAGATTTCCCCTCTGAACTTAGTTTTAACTGTTTAAGGTGAAAATGTGCATCTATTTTCTAAAAAACAAAGATAAAGAATGTTCAAAAAATGATTTTTTATTTCTTTTCCCATTAGTCATGTTACGACCTTCAGATTTATCTTGTGACCATCTGGAGGGGCCCAACACCAAGGTTGGGAACCACTGGACTAAACTAAACTATAAACTAGTTAAAACTAGTTCCACCTCAAGCAGCCACAACAGTAAAATCATATTAATCTAATAATGTCATATATAATGATATTTTAGTCACAGGGTCATTTTACTGCAGAACAAGTACTTTTGCTGTTGATACTTCAAGTAAGGACTTTTAATAATGGAGTATTTTTACATTGTTGTATTGGTAATTGTACTTATTAAGGGAGTATTTCTTCCACTACTGTTAGGTCCTATGTATGCAACACACTGCAGATGGCAGCTTCACTGTTTTTTGCACACAGACTCGGGAACCAACCAGCTCTAATATTCCTGGTTCTAGGTTTTCTGTGATTTGATGAAACACAACTTTATTAAGGAAAGTGCACCATGTGAGTGTGCTATAAAACAGAATGATAAAGGTGTTATTACTAGACTTTGACATAGAGGGCCTCTACAAGACAAGGCCACAAGAATATGTGATAATGCAGGACCTAGTTGATATTGTACTTTAGTGGCACAACTTTGGGCTAATCAAATTACAAAAAGCAACTGAGACGAAATGAGTAGGGCTGTTTGAACCTGGGTAATTGCCCAGTTGGTGATCCAGTTCATAAAGGTGTTACTAAAAGTCGCTTCAAGAAGCCATTTCAGCAGTTTACAATGAAATGAGATTTTCAGGTATTATATAATGCTGTTCAGTACTGTCATGTTTACAAAAATAACCAAAGCAAATAAACCTTCAGCAGCATCAAAACAATTTTATAACTTGGTTGTTATTTAACATTACGCCCAGTTTGTCCATGCAAACTTTTTTTTAGTAAAAAAAATAATTTTTATTCTATTTGTTTATTATTTCTATGTATATTTCTAAGAATTCTGCATATAAAACATTATAATAAATAAACCTTATAAAATATTATTTTTTGGTAAAGATTTAACTACCTAATAATATATACAAGCAGAGCTGAAATGAGCTGGCTGACAAAAAATTAATTCATTACCCTATTATAATATTTGTATAATGGTTGAATTTTCATGTTTCATGTAAAAATGCCAAACATTTCTTGGATTTGTTTCTTTTCTTTTGAATTTTAGTCATTTTAATCTAGTATTATAAATTTGAAGTTTGAACTATTGTTTAGACAAAACAAGTATTGTGAAGGTTTGAGAAATTTTACCAGCCAATCATTCAATCGAAATGATTGATCAACAAAATTATAAGATTAAGCCATAAGGAAAATTATTAGTTGTTGTCCTATATGAAATAGTTAAAAATAGCCAAATACAATAGTGAAATGCTGCTTATTCCTTAATGTGAGTACTGATAATCTATTGATATAATGTATAATAGTATAAAACTCACAGGGGCCATTTTTCTGCATTCAGTACTTATTTTAATACTTCAAATAGCCTTTATTTAAGTAACTACATGACACTTTTGCTTACTGTTCAATTCAGGACTTTTACCTGTAACGGAGTATTTACACAGTGTGGTATTAGTACTCAAAACAATAGTCAGGTGACCACTGAAACATGTTTTTCTTGCTGTGATCATTCCTCCTGTTAGTTTATCTGAAGTGAATGTGAGGCTAAATTTATCAAATTAACCCTTTGAAATACACACTTGGGTCTTCACACAACCAGGACAAATTGTATCATTTGAAAGCTATAACTCTGCAGATTCTCCTTATATCACTGCAACAGCTGTTGACAGAGAACTGGTTCAGACTTGTGGCTCCAAAGTGTTTTCCAAGTGTGAGGGGGAACAAAAACTTTTACCACATTTGTGCATCTGTTACTTTTGTTCAGTTCCTCTTATACTGATTATGACTTTTCAGTTGTAAAATTCTGTAGAGTTACCTTTCAAAGGAGACCAGGGTTATGACTGTGATAAAAAGGCTGGAGACACAAACCTATTTATCTTGGGTACATTATGTTTTGGCTGGTGCTCTAAAATGTGTGTCTGGTAACAGGTTAAGTGGATATCTGTCAGAAATTTCTGTCTTTTTAGTACAAAATTTCCTTCCTTGCGATTCCCCAGACAGTATATAGGTCTACTGTACGTGCTTGGCTGTATGGAGGGATAGAAACAAAAAGAGGGAATTTTCTACTAAAGAAAAAAACTATTAACTTTGGGAAGGTAAAGGCTTTACTGCTGAAGCCGCAGATAAACTTTGGAAAGTAATTTGGCAATTCATGTGGACTGTGGATTTTGCCCCCCTTCACTTACATTGAAAGCATGTTACGATGGGATCTCTTAATGTCCCGTATGAACGGGTGGACTGATCACAGCAGGAAAAACCTGTTAAATTTTCATATGGGCACCTGACCGTTGTTTTAGACTTGAAAAATTATGAACCTGTCCTTCAAGTAAAAGATCTGATTACTTCTTCCAACACTGTTGAAAAGGTAATTAAAAGAAAGGGCAAAAAGGTAAAAGGTCTTTGGGTTTTGAAACTGTATTAATTGTGATAAAGACGTTTGGACAGCAGGGGGCGACAAACTCCACACAGGTAGAGCCGAACTGGAGGGAGCTGTCCTTTCAGCACCCCCCACACACACACACACACACACACACACACACACACACACACACACACACACACACACACACACACACACACTAATTACAAGGGAGTCTGTTTTTTGGTTTTATGTGTTTTTTTTATTTGTTTTTTTTAACATGATGAACTCAACACAGTTCTAAACTCAAACCCACAACATGACCAAAACCAGTCTAGTGTTTGAACTAGAGTCTGTGCAGCCCTCATCCCCGTTGCTAAGTGTCATTCATGCATCTAATCGGAGCATGGCACCAGATCTGCCTTTAAAGCTGTAAGATGCAGCCTAAAAAATTCGCAGTTATGATGACAAGAGCAGGAGAGGTGAAGCCGCAGGTCGGACATTTAGTGAGATTACTTCAGGGAAGAGTGGCGGTGACATGCCTGAGAGACTGCTGCAACAATTGGATCGGACAATAATAAGCCATAAATGCATAAATCTCTGCCTGTGTGCACAAATGCAATTCAGTAATCCTCCATCTATGAAGAGCGAGTGAGACAGAGAGGGAGAGAGAGAGTCCACCATCCAAACACCCCCTCCTTCCGCCCCCTCCACTCACAGAAACGGAATTAAAAAATCTTTAATATCTTTCCAGCAACGAGCCTCCATTGCTGCAGCGCGGAGCGCACACACACACACATACACACACACACACACGCACACACACACACTGTGGGCCTTTTAAAACGTCGCCGGTAAGAAGAAGAAAAACTTGCCTGCAGAATTAAGAGCAGCTTCTTTACACTGACATTATCCGAAAATAGGGGGGAGAGCGGCTTACCTGAATGTCTTGAATGCAAACCGCCGCTGACACTGACATCGTGACAATACCAGCTCTGTCTGTCTGTGGATCTGTGCAAGTCCTGATTGTGTAATATCTTTTTTTCCTTCCTGCAAAGCGGCCGAACCTGCAGCTGAGAGCGCAAGGAGAGAAAGAAGCAGCAGAAGAAGAGGAGGAGGAGGAGGAGGGGAAAACAGGAGGATTGCAACATTCATCAGAAATTATTTTTCTTCCTATTACATGGCGCAAGGGCTAAACAAACGGGACCGTCCTGGGTGTGATACTGCCACGGTGAATTTGGATATTCAAGCAGCAGCAGCAGCAGCAACAGCAGCAGCATCCTCCTCCTCCATCCACGAAAGAAGAAGCATCCTCGGCTGCGGCGGCGCCCACACCGACTCCTCGTCCTCCTCCTGCCGGCTCTATGTCGAGTGATGGTCGGCTTGCCTTGCTGGATGCTCCCCGCTCTCTCCGGATCGTCGACGACCGAACCTCCTCTGACCGCAGACCCCCATTTTCGGCGGAAACCTACCCAGAGCTATAGGGCTACATATGGAAACTGGGGATCAAAATTTTAGGAAAAAGGAAAATCTAAGCGGTTAATTTCATTTTTTTTTTAGGTTTTTATCGGTTTCTATCTGTTTCTTGTTCCTGTGTGTGCTTTTTTAAAAGCCTGCTAATTAATTAATCTATTCGTTGAGCCTTGATTTCCTCATGCCATCGGGTTGATTTGTGAGAAGCCAGCGTAATATTTCCTTTACCCTCACAATAGGTCGTTATAAAACACCGAGAATTGCTTTTATTGCCTCTCGTCAGGACTTGAATCCGTCCATTTGTTTACTCTCTTCTGTTCACACTAATATGATAGATTTCCCTGCTGTCCTTCGTTTCCCTCCCCAGTTTATTATTATTATCTCCTTGCTTTTTTCCCTTTTGACTAACAAAACCCTATAGAATATTGATATTAATAACAATAGTCTTTAGGATAGCTTTGGATATAGCTATAGCTAATTCAGATTTCTTACTAGTAATGTTATAGCCTCTGACTAAAGTAACTGTAACTCATTGTAACAGACATATTGAACTGTTGTACTGTAAGCCTGCCATTAATCTAACACCGCCCCCTGCCCCCCAACCATCTCTTTGCTCCATTTGAGCTCATGTTAATTCAGCTCTAGCTGTAACCTTTACAAGTCAAAAAACAGGTTGTTTTTTTTTTTTTTTTGCAGGTCTGTGGAGAATAAACCTCAGTTTGGTTTATCTGACTTCCATTTTTAGGCTCAGCTCTGCCACCATAGGCTTTAGGACATAATTAATCCTTTATAGCTCAGTGTTATTATTCACATTTGTAGCTTTTATTTGCTGTGAGTGGCTGTACTGTGGCTACATCTGCAGCTACAGGCCTGCTGAGGTGCTGCCGTCCTCTGCATAACCTGATTTTTCATCTCTTTTGGGTGTAAAAGTAAGAACAAACAGAGAGGAGAGACATCACTGCCTCTTCCTCTCTCCCCCCACCAAAAAACCCTCCTTACCATCCTCAGTTTTTCTCTTGTTTTGGTCCTCACCCAAACGCAACCATAAGGTTCCTACCGCATCCTCCGCCTCCTTCTTCCCTCTCCTTCCGCTCGAGTATATCCCGTTTTTTCGGTTTGGTTTGGTCCCGAAAATTTTCAAATATTTACTTCCTGTACATCAAGAGGAAAGGGGGTCCCCCTTTCATGGAATGCGGAAACATGGGTCTGTTCGACCGCGGAGTCCAGATGCTGCTGACCACGGTGGGAGCCTTCGCGGCCTTCAGCCTCATGACCATCGCGGTCGGCACGGACTACTGGCTGTACTCGCGCGGCGTCTGCAAGACCAAGTCCATGAGCGAGAACGAGACCAGCAAGAAGAACGAGGAGGTGATGACCCACTCGGGCCTGTGGAGGACATGCTGCTTGGAAGGTAAGATGAAAGTCGGACTGTCTCTATGCTGCTCTGGTGCTCAACAAAATTTCCCAGCATGGGGTCATCTGTGGTTTGTGGAGCTGTCTTTCTGGCAGACCACAACTCACATTTTATTGCTGAATTTCAAGCCCTTCTGCACTTTCATCTGCCATGCCACTAGAATTTAAGGGTGTTCCTTAATGCTTTTGTTTCCACACATGAAAAGCACAACAGAATAAGACAGGAATTGGTGTTTTAAAGGCCGTACTGCTACCATACTGACAGGAGCTGAGCCAAGCTGACTGCATTTACACTCCTAAATTTCCAGAAACACATGGTTTTCTGTTTTGGCATGGCACTCAAGGGGTTGCAAGATAAATCTGAGGTGTCGCCAGATTATTACTTTTACTTTATTTCTTCTGCATTAAGGACAGAAGATGAAAAATCCTAATTCTGCCACAGAAATTCATGTTTATTGCTCCAACATTTCTCTACTGAAGCAGGTTTCTGTTTTGGGATGCCCCCTCAAGGGGTTGCAAGATAAATCTGAAGGGTCACAAGATTATTAAAGGAATAGAAGAGAAGAAAAATCAAAATTCTGTTCCATCTTTTCTCTAACTGCTTTTTTTCTTGTAAAATGCTGGCTTAACTTTTCAATGTCTTCTATTCAATCAATCTGACAAAGAAAAGACACTTTTTAGTTGAAATGGCACATGCTGGTAGACACTTTCATTATAAAGGGTCACAAAGCAGAAGAAAAACTTAGATATAGATCATTTAGACTAAAACTCTCCTTTTAAATGTGTTTGGGAGTTGAGCTCCTGCAGGCAAGGTGAAGCGGGTTTCACACCACTCTCACATCAGTTTCTCTAGTCAGACATTAAAGTTTAAATAATGAAATAATAACATTCACAAGCTGTAGTTAGGGTGGGACGTTCATCATATATCAGCCTGATATACTTGCAAACCAATACTCTGGTCTAACCCTAATTAATGAAAACTACAGGAGATCTTCCCTTTACAGAGGATGTGACACTGTGCCAGCAGGTTGGAAGGGATATTCATTTTAATGAAGACCCCAAAGTGAAGTCATGGCAGCAGAGATGCAGCCATTTCTCTCTGACCTGCTAGACAAACTTGATGATGGCAAGGCTGCTTGTCATGTAACCTTTGACCTGTCTGTGCTCAATACGCACTCACGTCCTGAGTGCATGCAGGTTTTGAGACAATCTCCAGAGTCTGCCCTGTCAGACGAAGGCGGCGTGTTTCCTGTCATGCCCCAGCGGAGGCATTGGGTGCTGACTTGGAGTGAGGCACTGTAACCTTGTGAGGGCGCAGAGCGTTACAAATCTGCTCATCTTCTTAGCTGTGAGATCCTGAAAGGCCACAGTGTCTGACTTCATGCTCCTCTGGCTCCTGTGATAGGCAGCCAGACTCTGTGCACCTTCTGTTCAAAGTTTAATAACTGGTTTGAAGTAACAAGTCCAATTTAAGGTAGCTATAATCCATATTTTTACAACTACAGACCATTTTGCCTTGGGATCACACCAGCTGCAATGCCATCAACATGTTGACTTTTTGACCCATGAAAACTTAGTAGTTATTTCTATTATGTGAGTACTCAGTGGTCATTACTATGTTGTTACCTGAGTAATCAGTATTCATGTGTCAGACCACACCCATCTTTGAATTTGACCTTTATTTTGATTTCAACTAAGTTTCATGACTGAATCTTGCATGGTTTACAAGGTTTAAGGTTTGATTAGGTTTAGACTCAAAAACTACATGGTTGGGGAAAGTTGATGGTGTGTGCTTAAATAATTACTTGGTTAAGGTCACAGGACTTTTGTTCTACATTAACTATCAGTAAGAAACAGGAAACGAACTGTTGTCTCTTGTGGCAAAACCTGATGTTTTGTTAGTAGGACAGTCTCTACCTTTGAGTGGGACTTGGTATCAAACCTCAATACTTTCTGATTACTGCATTGTGTCCTTGTCGATATCTGTCCAATGCCAAGAGTTGGCTCTGAGTACTTGGTCAGATTCTGAGTCTTGTTTACCGATTCTTTGATCAGTTCTTTGACATATTCAGGCAAAGTTCTTGAACACCGCTTTGTGTTTAAACACTGATGTCTGGCTCGATTTAGGGAGCGGCTGTGACTCAGCAGGCACAGCAGGTTGTCCGTTAATAGCAAAGTTGGTGGTTTGATCCCTGACTCCTCCTGTCCATGTTAAAGTGTCTGCTTGGAGGATTTTTTTTTTTAAATTTCTGTAAAATATTGGATAATTTGACAGATTTTGGTTTGAAATACGACTCCACAGAATGAAACTGATGAAGGATCATTTGTGGTGGAAGTGCAGAATTCCTACATTGTGTAAGGAAATGCACAGTAATGTCAAAGTTATGAAAGTCCTGGGTTGTTGGTTTGATTTAGCAAACCCCCTGACATGTAGATGCACACATGGTATACATTTTCAGTTACTGTGGTCTGTGTGATTATAGCCTGCAGAATTATTTTTGAAGCATTGGAAAACAGATAAAGACAAGGTAAATGCAATGGAGGAGCCTGCATCCCGTGGCTCTATGGTCAGTACTGTAGATCCAAAGATAGTTCAAAAGATGGGACCTCTTCCTGGGATCTTTTTTGGATCTGTGTATGTAGAGACTGATGGGAGTGATTTCAAGCATAGCCAAAAACTCTGTGACTGTGACTTTTCTTTTCATTTTATTGAGGACTGGGTCTCTCACTTCTGCACAGTATATGTTACTTATTTTAATTTTCTTAAGATGTCTTTTGTGTTTTACACCATGCTGTAATAGTGGCTACCCCTGCAAAACTGAAGGTTTTCTTACTGCTGTTTTCTTACCGGTCAAAGGTCAACTTCACTGTGATGACTATTTAAAAAAAATCAATACATTTAATGGCAAATAACCTTAATCTGAAAATTAATTTATAACTGCATTTGGCAAATAAATTTAGTGGAAAATTACAAGTTTTCTCTCTGAAATGTAGACGTATAAAGTAAAATCAAACAGAAATACTGATGGTAAGAACAAGTACTTCAAAATTGTACAGCACTTAGTTGCTTTCCAGCAGTGCCAGTGCCTTGGTAGAATGAGAGGCTAACTAATATGCTTTGGATCAAAGCGCTACATAAATGCAGGTCATTTACCGAATTGTTAAATGAGAGAAAAAGTGGGAGTGAGTTGTAGGAAAAAGGGTTTAATTTAAGTGTTAATACTGAATTTCAAATACGCCATTTTTTTTTAGCTTTACCTCTGATCACAGCGTTTACACCTCAGCTGTTCCTGAGAAGCTGCTCAGGTGTCAGCAGCAGAAAACTGGTTACTCCAGATGTGAGTGTGTTTGAAAAGAGCTCAGTCAACCTTCCCTGGATAGGTAAAAAGAGATAACACTGAATGCTGACACAGTGCTCTGGTGTATAAACCGTCCCTACAATAATTACATTAATGCACCTAGGATTAATCACAGCTGGAGTGTAATGGTGGCAGTGAGTGGCCTTTACCCCTGCTAGGCCATTATTTAATTGGCAAACAAAACAGCACAGAGTCAAGATGAGATCAAAACATCACACTCTTGGCTTACTGTGTGTCTGTGTGTGTGTGTGTGTATGCGCGCGCACGTATTGCTTTTGTATCGAACAATGAGCCTCTTCCTTTGAATGCAGGATCAAAATGGCAGGAAATAAACCCAGATATGTCGTTTGTGATTCATGAATGATCCCCAGTCCAGAAGAGGCAAGGGAGTGGAAAAAGGGGGCCACAGCATTTACTTACCAGGGTCAGATTCATTTAAATTCTAATTTAAATGGCTTCCTGCTCAGGAAATTGGGTCTTAAAAAGCAAGTACATTTAATTATAGGTAGTTTGCACATTTTAGACCAAAAATCAGGGGGGAAATTGAAAAAATGGAAAAGTGCAGAGCGGATGCAGCTGGGGAGAGGCAGCGATAAGCAGGCTGCTTGCTGCAAACCCAGCCTTGTTTCAGCATAGAGTAAGGAGGAGTGATATCAAGTTTAACATTTCAGATGTTAATTAGGCTCCAGTTTGCAGCTCAGCTCAATTAATTCAAAGTGCCAAGATGACTAGTATTCATCTTTCCCCCAGTTCTGCTTAAATGAAGCCTTACTGGTGATCAGGCAGCGGCTGAGGCTGCAAATGGTTGGAATAGTCGCTCCGTCCGTTTCGCAGCACAGAACACAGACTGTGTGTTTGGCAGCGAATGCCCACACATCCTGCTCGCAGAGTGGACACAGGTGGGTGACGGTTTGTGTTTGTATAAGCAGCTACAGGAGAGGAGAACCTGTGAAAAAGCAAAACAGGAATACTCACACTGGGTGCTTCAACACCTCAACCTCTACTTCACTCACAATAATCTCACTCATGGAACAGGAAGGGGTTGTGTGTCTGCAGTTTACCTATTAGGGCTGCAACTATCAATTATTTTCATTATTGATTAATCTGATGATTATTTAAATAAATAACACAATATCTTGCTTAAAGAAACTTTTGCAAGGTTTGGGATCCTTTGTGACTTATGTTCAGAGCTCTGATGTGCTATGAATATTTGGAGTTGCCAGTGGCGTCTTATATCTGATTCTTCTGCGCGATTCTGAAACTATTATTATTATTTTTATTTTTAACATTATTAACATTATTATTTTCTTGTAAATTATAGTTGCTGCCGTCCAAGTTTCACTTCAAAATACTGTATTCCTTCCTCAAAGTGCAGTTTTAGTCAAGTGCGTTTGTAAACAACACAAACGATTCACTGACAAACACAAAAATAATCTAAAAATACAAATATGGCAATGTTAGAGAGAGTTAGAAAAATAACATGGTGCATTTATCAGTCCATATACAAGGTAAACAGACTATTTTCTAAAGATTATTGTACCTCCACGCTGGTGACATTTTCAAATTGTCCGTCTGTCTGTCCGTCCATCCGTACCATCCTCATTAGCACAATATCTCAGGCACACTTTCTTTCTTCAAA